CATGGTATTTTTGATACTAATGAGAAAGTAAAATATATACAGAAAAATAAAAAAGGGAAGAAGAAGTTGAGTTCACGATTGTGTTATCAGATTTTTTTCGAAGAGTTTAAATTTTCGAAACATGTAGAAAATAGAGTAATTTGGTATTTTTAAGTTCTATATGACTTACAACCTAATATTGCCTCCTGCAAACCTAGTATTATTATAATCATTCATACAATTTATTAAAAAGAAAAAATCACCCCACAATTCTTCCGCATCTTATATAAATAAATACTAAAAAATTGCTACTTTTATGGATAAAATTTTCAATTGTACGACCAGAGTGAACTCATGGCACATATCAATTTATTCTTAGAGACAGGAATAAAGATGGCCCACATGTTATCTACTTTTCCTAGGTTTGATAGGCATTTGATTAGACAAACCGATTGTATTCTACTAATTATTCACCAGCTATTCAAAGCCAAAAATTCCTTTTCCCCTCTAATTTGTTTCTTTATTTCGCAGGTTTAGTCCTTTACGCAATATGAAGTTATACTTTATACATTAAAGAGAATTAATAATAATTTTTTTGTAGATTTTTGTCATATCGGATCTATATTTTTTACTGGTAATATATTGATTTTTGGAACATTATAAGGTGGAGTACTGCTAATTATAATTCTAACAAAAAGATTAATTTAAAGATAATAAAGAATCGAATCATAAATAGGTTAAAAATTTTGGGAAAACTTAAGTCAAATTCTTAATGAAATAAGGGTTAAAATCTAATTCAATTTTCTGTTAAAATATGCAACAAAGCCCTCAAAGAAGTGCAATTCTTTACCAAAGTTTCTGAATTTTTAATAATAAAAAGTATTTAATTTAATTTATTAGGAAAAAAAAAGATATATGAAACATCTTTTGATTCTTTACCAAAGTTTCTGCATATTTAATCACATTTTTAAAAATGTATTTAATTTAATTTATAATATCAAAAAGAATATGAAAACTTTTTTATTTGTCAAAGTATCCTTGAGTTTTATTTATTTTTTATTTTTAAGAAAAAAACTTTCAGTTTTAATTTTGACCTTAGAATGGAGTTAATGGTATCCTTAAAAGTTTGGTAGTTTGGTATCAAACTATCAATGATTTACCAAACAATCAAATTATCAATGATTAACCAAACTTTAATCACCGATAATGTTACCAAAATATTCTTTACCAAACTATCAATGATTGAACACGATCATTTTCGACAAGCAATCAAACATCCTTGAAATTTTAAGAATTATTGGAGATGGTTGGGGAGGTAGTTGCAATGTAACCATAATGTCAACGAATAAATAACCAAATATCAGTAAAAGAATAGGGTACAACAATTTATTGCATATTACCGAGAATACAGAGTTAGGGCAAAAGCTGCACCTTCAATTAATGCCTTTTGCCACCACCAAAATGGGCAACGTACAATTCAATAAACGGTTACTCTATTTATCATGTGTTAATTAATTAAATTTAGAAGATAAAATGGACTTTTTTAACATGGCGTAGTCATACTATTTGAATTTTCTAACACACGTTGTCTACAAAGAGTCTGATCCTCCAATTTCGAATTCCTCAAGCCTCTAGGGAACTTTATTATAAGTTCTAGATGAAATTGAAGAGAAAAATCAATTGTGGAAATGAAATTCTTGAACTTAATTTTCACCTAACTTTCTTTGCTTTATTTAGATAAGCATCAATGACGTTACCCTCAAAAGTTTTCGACTGGTACCACATCGAGGTCTTCCCATATATTGAGTTCCATATATTCATTGTGGACTATCTTTCCCCTCTTCTTGGTAGTAGAATATTTTAACTACGTTTGGAAAAAATTTAAAAAATAAATAAATAGGAAATTAATTTCCATAAAAATTGTTAACCTAAAAATGAATATAACGGGTTCTCTCTCCGCCATTGACTAGGAAGGCCCGGGAATGCATAGCAATGTTTCTTACATTTTGTTTCGTACTAGAAATTGAAATTGGTAATATGAGAATTCATGTATCTCATATGTGAGGGCACATAATTGTTTGATTAATTGATATATTTTGGGCACCCATTATGTGATGGCACGATGATTGCTCAATTATTTTATATATTTTGGGCGCCCATTAAATTTTAATATTCTATTTAGAGGAATTCCGTCAACATCACATGTTCCCAACTTTTCAATTACAATCTATTTCGCTAGTACAGTGGCATGGCTTGTAGCTAGGGTAATAGCATAAAATGTAATTTTCATTTGCACACATTGCACAAATCTAATCCCTATCGTCCCAATTTTGGTATTTAAACCCCCCATTTCAATCTTTTTCGGTCTATTCCATCAATTGCTTCCATCAAATATGGATAATTGGTGCAAAACATCAATATTGTTTGCTTCTATTACACAAAATGTCCCTATCAATTATTTTCATTGCGCAAAATATCATTATTTTCTTCGTTAAAGTGTTGTAAAATAGTCAATCTACTCTCCTCTTTAAACGAACAAATAGAAAATAAATAAATAGTAAAACTATGGAAGTAGTGCCCGTATCAGGTTGACATTATATAGAACATGCTTCACCTTAATTTTTTATACAAATATACTTTAACTCAAGGTATCTAATAGCTAGAAAATTATATTTCACAATAAAAAGAGTCACTAAAAAACAATCACCAACACCGATCAAGTTTATGGGTAACTTGATCTAAACACTAGAATTTTATTGATTCACTTGAAATTCTGATACAAGTGTATGAGCAATAATATTTTAACCTTTAACATAGTCCAAATTTATAGATGTAGCATCGACCCAAAGGTATAACGGTGAAATAATTTAGAAGTAATGTACATATATATGGTTTGCTGAATAAATTTATCTTTCACTTAATATTGTAAGGTTTACTTTCAAAATTTCTCATGAACTTCAGAAATGAAATCCATATTGTCCTAGTATTTATGTAATCAATAACTGAATTATTAATTCATAGCAGGAAACTCCAATAATTAAATTAATAAAGCATATCTTGAGTGATGTTCTAACACTCTGTTCAGATTTGTAAATCAATCACATGTGCAGCTATTATTACTATAGGTGTATAGATAGTTTGCTAAATAAATATCTTTTGCTTTATGTTGTTAGGTCTGCTCTCAAAATTTATCATGAACTTGAAGTGTCACTGTATTTATGTTTTCATTAGAACATTACTCAAGATATGTTTTCATTAACTGAACTATTTGTTTAGAGTAAGAAACTCCAATAATTCAAATTGTAAAACATATCTTGAGTAATGTTCTAACACCCAATTCAGGTATAACAATCAATCATAACATGTGCAACTATAATTACTATAGGTGTATAGATAGATTGCTAAATAAATATATCGTTTGCTTTTTATTGTTAGGTTTGCTTTCAAAATTTCTCATGAACTTCGGAATGAAATCTATCTTGTCCTCGTATTTATGTATTCAATAACTAAATTATTTATTTATAGCAAGAAACTCCAATAATTAAAATTGTAAAATATATATCTTGAGTAATGTTCTAACAACTCAGTTCGGGTCAATCAATCAATCATAACGTGTGCAACTATTATTACTTGGAAATATACATCTTAACTTATTCCTCGAAGTCCCAAGAATTCGCTTTCTTAGCTTCAATAATACAACTAGAATTGGGCACAATTCACTATGTAGTCAGCTAGCAAGGCAAAAAGAAGAATAAAACGAGATAAAAATCTTGGCTGGATGAATTTAATGACGCACATAATTTAAGAGAGTGTGTGATTGTGTCAAGTTGGGTGAATCTTTAGTACTATTGGCTTTGAATTTTTTTCGTTTACTTTTCTAATAATCAAATTTTTATTAATTTTATTCTATTGGCATAAAATAAAAAAAAATAATTATGTGGACTTTTTATCAAAGACCACTGAAACTAATTATTTAATTGTTTGTCAAGTTAGACTAGTGTCTAAAAATGTGTGAGGATTTTATCAAATTAAGCTAATTAATAATGTAACTCATCTTTATTAAGAGTAATAAATAGAATAAATAAATTATGGAATTTTTGAAATTCTATATTATTTAATTTTACATAATGAATTGACATTAAGTTAAAATATTAGTGTATTGGGTACAGAAGATGGAATGTTACTAAGAATATTATTATCAATTATGGGAGTAGGTTAAAAGAAGATTAGGCAATACCTCCAAGATTTTAAATGCTCTTGTCTTGTTACATATTATAATTGTATTATATCTATTATCAATTTTATCTTTCAATCTAGGGTCGGAAACAAAAGTTAAAGAAACTCTTGTATTGTGATTCAACTGCAGAATATCATACTTCAAAGCAATCATCTCTAAAAAACCTCAACCAATCTACATCAAGAACCAAGCTCTGATACCACTTGTTGGATCCGAAGGGATCTTAGTAAATGAGATTTACAAAGTGGTACAAAGTAACGAAGATCACAACGAGTAACAAGATTTAAAAGTAAAGAAATTAACAAAGAGAGTTAATCGCATAGGATCGATATTTTATTAATCAACAATATGGAGAGAAATACAAGAACCTAGCAATTCTTACTTAAACAAAACGGAAGGAGAAGACAACTATTTATAGGTCCATGGCATAGTATAAAGATGAAAATAATGTGAAATAAGGAAATGATATATTTTCTTAAAAGTCACGTGAAATATAAAAAAACAAACTTCCCACATGAAAATAAGGAAACAATTTAAAAAAAAAAAATCCATCCTAATTTAGGTCACAAACCCAACAATTTCCTGTTCATGAACAGGACACTTAGGATGGGATTTACGTGTTTAACCCTTGGATATGTGCTGGAAACAAGAAAATAAATTAAAAATCTGGTGTATGGATGAATCATCACATTGAGATGTCACCATTTCAACCCCCTTTTCTCTCTATAAATTGATGCAGTCTTCCCCATTTTTTTTAAGACCAAAAACCACCCTTATAGCCTACTACAAATATACATCTTCCACACCTCGAAATCCTGCAGACACAAGAGCAAAACCAAGGGAGAAAACGGAAGCAGAAGCTGTTTTTCAGGACAGAAAAGTGAGCTGTAAATTGTATATTTCTAGCTACCTTCTACCTTCTTAGGCGTAAGTAAATTTTGTTTATGTGTTCTTATATGAGGTAGGTAACTGTTGATAGGTTCAGTTTATACTTATTTGAGGCGAGATAATGCTACTCCACAGCCTTGTTTTTGCTTTCATATATTACACATATTAACTGTTCAGTTTGAGATTCAGTTTTTATCTGTCAATGAGAGGACATTGACACTTGCGTTTTATTGGGAAGAAGTTACGCAATGTAATACCACCTTTATATTATCTCTAATTGTTAAAAGCATCAGATGTGCGAATACTAAACGGGTCAGCCCAAGCTGGAAATTAAGCTGCTCAAGCCTAGTTTATATTTACAAACCTAAAATTAGGCAAGCTTGGCTCATCTACTTTTCAAGTTTGAACATTCTTTGTATGAGTTGTTTCCTAACAGAGCTCAAGTATGTTAATAATTTACATGTTAATTAATAAATATATCTTTTGCTTTATGTTGTTAGGGTTGGCTTTCAAAATTTCTCATGAACTTGACGTGTCCCTGTATTTATGTTTTCATTAACTGAACTATTTGTTTAGAGTAAGAAACTCCAATAATTCAAATTGTAAAACATAACTTAAGTAATGTTCTAACACCCAATTCGGGTCTAACAATCGATCATAACATGTGCAACTATAATGACTATAGGTGTATAGATAGTTTGCTAAATAAATATATCATTTGCTTTATATTGTTAGTTTTGCATTCAAAATTTCTTATGAACTTCGAAATGAAATCTATCTTCTCCTCGAATTTATGTATTCAATAACTATACTATTTATTTATAGCAAGAAACTCCAATAATTAAAATTGTAAAATATATATCTTGAGTAATGTTCTAACACCTCAATTCAGGTCAATCAATCAATCATAACGTGTGCAACTATTATTACTTGGAAATATACATCTTAACTTATTCCTCGAATTCCTAAGAATTTGCTTTCATTGCTTCAATAATACAACTAGAATTGGCACAATTCACTATGTAGTCAGCTAGCAAGGCAAAAAGAAGAATAGAACAAGATAAAAATCTTGGCTGGATGAATTTAATGATGCACATAATTTAAGGGGGAGTATGATTGTGTCAAGTTGGGTGAATCTTTAGTACTATTGGCTCCGAATTTTTTTTCGTTTTCTTTTCTAATAACCAAATTTTTATTATTTTTATTCGATTGGCATAAAAAAAAATATATGGACTTTTTATCAAAGACCATTGAAACTAATTATTTAATTGTTTGTCAAGTTAGACTAGTGTCTAAAAGTGTGTGACTTGAATTTTATCAAATTAAGCTAATTAATAATGTAACTCATCTTTATTAAGAGTAATAAATAGAATAAATAAATTATGGAATTTTTGAAATTCTATATTGTTTAATTTTACATATAAGGAATTGAAATTAAGTTAAAATATTAGTGTATTGGGTACAGAAGATGGAATTTTAGTAAGAATATTATTATCAATTATGGGGGTAGCTTTAAAGAAGACTAAGCAATACCTCCAAGATTTTAAATGCTCTTGTCTTGTTACATATTATAATTTTGTATTAGATCTATTCTCAATTTTATCTTTAATCTAGGGTTGGAAACAAAAGTTAAAGAGAGGAGATATAGATCTCCAACCTTATTTTACCAATATTATAATTAATGCTCTTAATTCGTAAAAAGATCACATAAGCAAGGTTAGACATGCTCTAAAAACTATTCACTGATACTTTTTCAATTCTTTTTTTTTTTTTTTAATCAAAATTGTGTGCTAATTGTTCGGGCTTAGGAGATTACAACTTTTATGTAATTTTAGACAGAAAGCATAGCACAAAATATAAATGGAATAAAACGTTACTTATGTAGTATAGTTTTGTAATGCTTTACCTGTTTATTCTTTCACGAAAACTTACATTCATTTGTTAATACTTAAGATATATGGTATGCATAAATATACTTGTAAAAGTAAGACACGGTGTAATTATATTTCATAGCCTCTTGGTGCATTTTATAATCCTGATAAAAGCATTTTAAGAACCGTATCAATAAATGAGTCGGGTAGCTCAATAAGTTTTCCACTAGAAACCTCATCGAAGGGTAGCTGTGAGTTTTAAACCTACATTATCAATTTTGTAATTTTTAAACGTTTGTGGTTTTCAATTTTCTTTTATTTTAGTAAATTATATTCCCTATAAATATCGCTCATTGCCATCGCTCTTTCACACTATCTAAAGTCTCTCACTGTCACTCTAGCATTCTTTCTTTCTCCCTAACCTTCAGGAAAACAAGTTACATTTTCTACATATACCTTTCACTCCGTCTCTTAATATTGTTGTTATTCCTTTTGGGAAGTAGCTTCTAAGCCTTTTGTTGATATTTCTTATATAGAACGATGCTGCAAATCCTTTTTTACATGCTGATCTCATCGAGGATCGAAGGAGTCTTGGTTGATAAGACTTATCTTTCCAATGCTGCAGCAAAAGGAGCTGGTAAAACAATGCCACCATGTTAATATTAATTTTTTTATTTTTTTTTTACGTATTTCTAAGGGAAAAAAACGGTTAACTATATATGCTCATACTGTTTGTATATGCAGTTTGTTTAGATGGGAGTTCACCAGTGTACCATCTTGATAGAGGATCTGGGACGGGAATAAACAGTTGGCTGGTTCATATTGAGGTTATTCTAAGCTATTAGATATTTCTTTTAACTGTAGAATGCTAATATCATATTAAAACGTAAGCTAGTTATGTCATTGGTTTTTGTTGAGGAGAATCTAAGATGCGTTTGTCTTCGATATTAAGGGAGGTGGATGGTGCCAAAATGTCGCGGATTGCCTAGTCCGTATGAACCAAAAACAGGGTTCCTCCAAGGACATGGCTAAACAGCTTGCTTTCAATGGGATTTTGAGCAACGAGCCACAGATGAACCCCGGTATACTTCAATCTTTAGATTGACTTGGATTTTGATTTATTCTCGAATATTTTATCTTCTTTACAGTAGGATTTTAATATTGTCTCTCATGTAAACATCCAGATTTCTATAATTGGAATAGGATCAAGGTAAGGTATTGTGATGGCTCATCATTTACTGGGGATGTAGAAGCAGTGGATCCTGTAAGTCATCATGTTCATATGATTGTTTTTTCTCATATTTTACAGGATTTTCTTGAAGTTGATAGATAGATATAATTTAATGGCATTTTTGAAAACTATAATGGATGATTTTCTTCTTGTAATATTTTTCTCGTCAAAATTGATTAGGCTACCAAACTTCACTTCAGAGGGGCAAGGATTTTTCTTGCTGTCATGGAGGAGCTGCTGGAGAAAGGAATGAAGAAAGCTGAAAATGTACAATTTTTTCTTATGAATACTCCTCCCTTTTTTACTGAATAAAACATTTGTAACTTGTAGTATCCATACGCAGGCTATTCTGTCTGGATGTTCAGCCGGTGGATTGACATCAATTTTGCATTGCGATAGCTTTAGATCTCTTGTTCCTGAGGGCTCTAAAGTAAAGTGCATTTCTGATGCCGGTTATTTCATAAATGCGTAAGCTTTCATACAAGGCCTCGTATCTAGACAAGATTTGATGTCCATAAGAATTACGTCCATCTATTTTAAGTAAAACTAACATCTTTTATCCTCTTCTATAGGAAAGATATTACTGGAGCATCTTATATCGAGGATTACTACAACGATGTGGTCAGGACACATGTATGAATTTTCTTAGATATATAATCGTTTGCATGCTTATTAAATAGTAGTTTGATAATCTTGTAATAGCAATTTCACCATTAACTTGGATGTAGGGATCAGCGAGGAATTTGCCATCATCGTGTACGTCAAAAGGGAAACCCAGCTTGGTAATACGAATATTCTTGACTAGATTGAATGGATTTGCAATTTGACATAAACTTGTCTTCTAATTATATCACTATAATTTTTAGTGTTTTTTCCCTCAAAACATTGTACAACAAATTCAGACACCACTCTTCATTACAAATTCTGCCTATGATTCATGGCAGGTTAGTATGTATCGAATCTCAATGAGATGAGCACTTTTATTGTTATATCTTATCTTTTCCAATCATCTGATTTTATGGTCTTAATTCTTTTCACATCATTAATTTTTACAGATAAGTCACATTTTGGCTCCTAATGTTTCGGATCCAAATTTTACTTGGCTCAATTGCAAGAATAATATTAGCAATTGCTCCCCGAGTCAGCTCCAAACCATTCAAAGTATGATAAGTTGTTTATCTAAATCTTTCAACCAGCGTTTTACTTGCAACTAACCTGAGGCTGTTTCTATTTAATGTGGTTTTTAGATTTCAGATTGGAATTTATAAATGCATTGAAGGGAATTAGTGTCTCTATATCAAGAGGGTACTACATAAATTCCTGCTATACACACTGCCAAACTGAAGGGGAAACATGGTTTGGGACCCACTCTCCAATCTTAAATAACAAGGTTAATATTTGTTACCAATTTCACGATTACATGTTTTTTATAGTGCTTTCATATTGCCCCATTAAACAAAAATGAACTAACAAAATAATTGTTATATACAGACAATTGCAAAAGCAGTTGGAGATTGGTTTTACGATCTAAATCAATTTCAAGAGATCGACTGTCCTTATCCTTGTAACAAAAGTTGTCCCAACTCAACTATTTAATTGGGATAATTTAATAAGTACCATGTCATAAAAGGAAAAAAAATTGTGTTGTTAAATTGAAAGAGTGATTTATTTGTTGCTTGATTGGTGTACATGAAATCTTATTCATTGTATTGTTAGTTTCTATTTTGTCTATTCTCATTCCGAGTTGTGTGTTCATCAATAATTAGCTATGAGCTTAAATATGTTGTCCTTGACATGTCCGGTGAATTGCAACAGAGATAAAATTGATATTGTTAGTGTTGGTATTATTAAATAGTGAAATTAAAACAATTTTCAATACACAAAAGATGAGATTCCTTTTGTAACGCTGCATTCTTCTTTTTGTGAATTTACAAATATATATGATGCGAAATGTATATTCAATGTTAATTTATTGTCTTTGTGAACAACTATGCTTTGTAATGGAATGTATCTTGGATGCCTTTCAATCGACGTGCCAAATAAAGTTAATTATTGTACAATTCTATTGAACTTAAAACACGTAATATGATATTTTATAATAAGCTTATAATGTTATAATCTGTTGTTAAATAAATTAAACATAGGCTTGACCTTAACAACATTCATATATTTTTCTTTTATTGGATATGTATTTGGACAGTAGAGAAGAATGGAATCAACGCAATAGTCAATTTAATGAATTTGGTAATGAGGTAATTAGCACAATTTGTTGAAATAAAGACACCTTTTTTTACCATGACACTTACTTAACAACCAAGCAAGACACATTCATGCATGCAAATGGAAAGTTGGCAATTTTGATTGCCCCTCTTTAGCCGAAATACTTGAAGAAAATTTAGCCAATTTTTCTTGACCTTTCCAGCCACTAAGGCGGTAGAACTTCCAACTTTGCTCCAGCCATTTGACAGCCCATTTACCGCCACCTTTCTTGAATTTTTTGAAGCAATTGGGCAGAAAAAAATTCTCTATAAAAGGAGGCAAGAGTTGAACGAAAAAGAGCCGTGTGTATGGAGAGGGAAAATTGAGAGAAAACTTTCCTTTAGTAAAGAGAAAAAATGGTGAAGTAGAGAGATAAAAAAATAGAGAGAAAAATTATTGTTTTCTCCTAGGTATTTCCTACTTATTTTCTTCTAATTACAAGAGAGATTATTTGTTGTTATCTTCTTGTATTTAGAGAGAATGTTGTAATTCTCCTACTATAGTGAATCCTCCCATACTTGCCCCTGGACATAGCCTAAATTGGGTGAACTACGTAAATACTTGTGTCCATTTTAGTTGTGGTTTCTCAATTCCATTATCGTTGTCAGTCAAAGTCGACCCATGTGTTTTCTCCCCAACAGTGGTATCAGAGCAAGGTTCGATGTAGGGTCATTGTTCAGTCATAGTATTGATGGAAAAAAAATTGGCGACAAAGTATGAGATTGAAAAGTTCAAATGAAACAATTTCTCATTATGGAAAATGAGAATAAAAGCAGTTTTGAAAAAAGATAACTGTTTGGCGGCAATTGGATAGAGGCCCGGGGAGATCACTGACGATGCTAAGTGGAACAAGATGGATAGCAACACAGTTGCTAATCTGCACCTTACACTAGTTGATGGAGTATTGTCAAGTTTGGCGGAGAAAAAGATTTTCAAAGACGCGCTTGTGGTGATGAAAGCTGAAAAGATAGTTGCAAATTTGTACATGCTTAAAGGAGAAATACTACGAGAAGAAAGAGAAGTATCTGTCACATCGACAGGTTCAGCAGAAGAATTAACGATGATGTGGCATCGTAAGCTTGGTCACACATCGAAACATGGTTTGAAAATTCTCTCAGAACAAAAGCTTCATCCAGGGCTCAAAAAAAGGTTTCATTACCCTTTTACGAGCATTGCGTTACTAGTAAGCAGCACAGATTGAAGTTCAACAATTTTGCTACTAGAAGTAAAGCTATCTTGGAGCTGGTCCATTCCGATGTTTGGAAAGCACCGGTTATATCCCTAGGAGGCGCAAGATACTTTGTATCTTTTATTGATGATTACTTCAGGAGATGTTGTGTATATCCAATCAAAAGGAAGGCAGACGTGTTCACAGTCTTCAAAATACTCAAAGCACATGTGAAGCTTGAATCTGAAAAAAAAAAAGATCAAGTGTCTGATGACTGACAATGAAGGAAGTCTCCTGTACGTTATGTACAAAACCCAAGAAACATCAAAGTTGGATCCAAAATCCAGAAAATGTATTTTTTTAGAGCATGCTGATGGAGTAAAGGGGTACCACCTGTGGGTTCCCACTACCCACAAGGTGATAATCAGCAGAGATGTACATCTGGAGCAGTTAGATGTGAAAACTGCATTTCTTCATGGAGAACTTGAAGAAGAAATTGTTATGCTTCGACCAGGAGGTTTTAAAGAAAAAAGAAAATGGAACTTCGTTTGCATGTTGAACAAATCTCTATATGATCTTAGACATGCGTCGAGATGTTGGTATAAGAGATTTGATTCCTTCTTCATGAGCCTTGGATACAATAGACTCAGTTCAGATCCATGTTCATACTACATGAGAATTGGTGATAATGATTTCATTATTCTGCTGTTGTATGTTGATGAAATGTTGGTAGCAGGCCCCAACAAAGATCGTATTGAAAACTTGAAGGCTCAATTGGCTAGGGAGTTTGAAATAAAGGACTTGGGATCGGTTCTAGGAATGCAAATTTACCAAGACAAAAATAATAGAAAGATTTGGCTTAGTCAGAAGAACTACTTGAAGAAAATCTGGCATCACTTCAATATAAAGGATTGTAAGCCAATTTCTACCCATCTTCCTATTAATTTCAAGTTATCCTTATGTATGAGCCCTAGCAGCGAAGTAGGAAGGATGGAGATATCTCGAGTACCGTATGCATCAGCAGTGGGTAGTTTGATGTTTGCTATGATTTGTACAAGACCGGACATTGCACAAGCAATGGGAGCGGTTAGTCGATACATGGCAAATCCTGGTAAAGAACATTGGAGTACTGTAAAGAGGATTCTGAGATATGCCAACGGTACCTCAAGTGCTACATTATGTTTTGGAGGATCAGATTTTATTGTCAAAAACTATGTTGATTCAGATTATGCAGGTGATCTTGACAAAAGCAAGTCCACCACAATATATGTGTTTACTCTTGTTGGAGGATTTGTAAGCTGGGTTTTGAAATTGCAGTCTATCGTGACTACTTCAACGACGGAGGCAGAATTTGTGGCAGCTACAAAAACTAGCAAAGAGGCAATTTGGTTGCAAATGTTAATGGATGAGCTCGGACACAAACTAGAGAAGATTAATCTATTTAGTGTTAGTCAGATCGTTTTCATTTGGCGAAGAATCCAGCATTTCATCAGAGGACAAAGCATATTCGAGTTCAATATCACTTTGTTCTAGAAAAGGTGGAAGAATGAAGTATGGATATACAGAAAATCCATATAGCAAACAACCTAGCAGATATGTTGACAAAGTCAATCAGTATTGACAAGTTCATAAGGTGTCGATCCACCATCGGCCTAGCAGAAATGTAAGTAGCATGGAAATGGCAAGTATGGGAAGGATTGAAGTGGTCAACAAAAGTGACTTTAAGTAGGGTAAATGTTGAAATAAAGCTACCTTTTTTGACCATGACACTTACTTAACAACCAAGCAAGACACATGCATGCATGCAAATGGAAAGTTGGCAATTTTGATTGCTCCTCTTCAGCCGAAATATTTGAAGAAAATTTAGCCAATTTTTCTTTACCTTTCCAGCAACTAAGCCGGTGGAACTTCTAGCTTTGCTCCAGCCATTTGATAGCCCATCTACAGCCATCTTTCTTGAATTTTTTGAAGCAACTGGGCAACAAAAAAATTCTCTATAAAAGGAGGCAAGATTTGAAGGAAAAAGAGTCGTGCGTATGAAGAGGGAAAATTGAGAGAAAACTTTCCTTTAGTAGAAAGAAAAAACGGTGAAGTAGAGAGATAAAAAATAGAGAGAGAAATTATTGTTTTCTCCTAGATATTTCCTACTTGTTTTCTCCTAATTACAAGAGAGATTATTTGTTGTTATCTTCTTGTATTTAGAGAGAATGTTGTAATCCTCATACTATAGTGGATCCTCCCATACTTGCTCGTGGACGTAGCCTAAATTGGGTGAACCAAGTAAATATTTGTGTCCATTTTAGCTGCAGTTTCTCAATTCCATTATCGTTGTCAGCCAAAGTTGATCCACGCGTTTTCTCCCCAACACAATTTTGGGTCCAATATATTCAGCAATTAATTAATTAGCACAATCTTTGCCCTTAAATAAAGGCCCTAAAATTAGAAAGAAATCTTGCACATTCCTAAGATAAAAATGATTTCCGTGTTTCTTGTAATTGCAAGAATATTTCAACACTCGAAGAAAATATATAACAAATTTCTTTCCACCCACTTTTGCTTTACGTTCTTGGAACTCTTGGATGTCGTTTCAGGCCTTTCGTTAAGGTACTTAATTTATTTTAAAATGATTTGGTGATTCATGTTACATCTTATAATATAAATGGGCGCATGCCCTTGTTAAATAATAGATATCACTACAAACCTAAAAATGAATTAAATTATGTCTGTGAGGGGGGGGGGGGGTTGGTTTGTGTTACATGCATGAATTTTATGTATAAATTTAAGGATGAGTTTTTACTATTTGGTAAATAATAAAAGGGTTAAATCCAACTATGGCCAACAAACTTTATACTTAGTGTCACAATAGTCACCTAATTTGATTTTATTTCACATAGCAACCCAACTTTATACTTAGTGTCATCATGACAACCTAATTTTATTTTATTTCACCATGGCCACCAAATTTCATTTAATGTTTCACTATGGCCACTTAATTTAATATAACATTTCACCATGACCACCTAATTTATTTCACTAATTTTAAAAGGCGTAAAACGGGTTATACTATATATATATAATAAATTATAAATAAAAGTTCTTTTTTATTGTAAAATAAGTTTTTATTTTGTTTTATTCTTCTGACTAATTTTTTTTTAAAAAAAACAACAATTTTTTATTTTATTTTATTTTTCTAAGTGACCTTTTTTTAAATAAGTTTTTATTTTCATTTTTTTATAATATTTTTTTACTTCAATTTTTTTTTAATTATCTCATATATACAACGCAAAGATACCATTTTACCCCTTTTA